GTTGACCATAATATCAACAAGTCATGTGACTGACCTGAGGAGGCCAGCCCCACAGCATAAGCATCCTGGGCAGACATGTCTTCCTATTGCTTGGAACGCCTCAGCCAGTTCTGAGCATCAAGATAAGAGATGGTGACAGTCATGGTTATGTCTCATAGATACATAAAACAGTGGAGCTGATCAATGCAGACATCACATTGTTTCTAGAAAATATGGAAAAAATGAATGGATTACTCCATGACGCTGCTGCACATTTATCAGTGATAGCAAACCCCATGAAGTTGCCATTCTACATCTCGAGTCAACCACCAGATGCTCAGGGACTGGTAACACCTGACATGAATAGGCCTGAGAAATAGTTTCAACTAGCCAGAGGGACAGGCGCTGCTTAGACAGCCGGTTGCCCAAGCAATTGTTACCATAAACTATTAACAGCTGAGTGTGTGCCTGCCTCAGCTGCCGTGTACAATCAACATACGCCCTCAATGCTCTTACTGTGTATGAAGAAATATGCCCCCTTGGCAGGCCTGTTCATGACAAAATGCCTCCAATTCCACAGCCTCATTCACTCACCACCTTCGAAAGGAAGAATGGGTTCAGCCACAAAAACACCCCTACATTCTTATGTTTCACCCTCAAGAAGTCATCAGTGTGGGGCGCGCTGGTGGCGCAGTGGTTGGGGCGCGCGACCCATGTGTTGAGGCTGTCGTCTTGAGCGGGAGGCCCGGGTTCGCCTCCACCCGTGGCCTCTTTCCGCATGTCGTTCCCCACTCTCTCTCCCTGGTTTCCGACTCTATCCACTGTGCTATCTCTACATTAAAGGCACAAAAAGCCCCAAAAATAAATCTTTAAAAAAAAGATTCACATGGCTCCACGGTCATGTTGGAAAGTTCCCTCCTAATGTTCTCTGGGAGTGTTGTCTCACAGATCAACATGGCTGATGACATAGCTTCACCAACATCAGGTAAGTTGGGAGTTAGTGGAAAGGGCCATGTTAGTATTTCAGTTACAAATACAGTATATACTTTGCATTCTTGTCCTTTTCCATAAAAATTCTGAGCAACAACTTGTGGACATACTCTCTCTCTTGCAATGGACCGACTTGCCAATAAAGGTATTTTTGCAAGTGAGACAGCTCACAAGAGGTTACATACATTTTTTGTTTGTGTTAACTCAGTCATTTATCTATTTAACTTGGATTTTCTTCAAAATATCACCCACTGCACACAGCGTAAGGAACAATTACTGTCTTTCATTTACCTGTTTATTTTCACTTAAATTGTCACTTCTGACCATAAACATACAAGGGGAAAGAGAAAAATCTTAGAGGACCAATATGTTAGTCTGACACCTAGCATCTAAAATGGTTACTGCAGTCCAAATTCAAAACGCTGGAGAGCAGACAAAACATGAGTTCGCTATATGATTCTTTAAAGAGAATATTTGCCTTTATACCAATGCTACATGTATGTACATGTACATGTCCAATGCTACATATAAAGCAAATACAGTGAAGATAGCCATACAATGTTTTGATGAAAGTCTTTGGTGTCAGCCATCTCTGCTTTTTACAGATTGAGTGTTTGATTATACCAAACCATCTCTACATATGGCTGTTTGTGTTCCTTATTTTACTTGGGCCAAAGTTATTTTCATCCTTGGCTGATGCATACCTTTCCAAATTCCAAAGTGGAAAATGCCCAGGTAGCTTTTGAAAAGGATATCAACAATGCCATGGCAATGATATGAATTTTTAGTAAGTTGGGCTTGGACATCCGCTTTGTACCTCTTCCAGACCTTCCTTAAATTTATAGGTGAAAGGAGATCTGCCAATGATTTTACAGACATTTCTTTTTTTCTTCATCATTTTCCTCCTGAGCTAGTTGGCTGTCCTTCACCGTTTCCGTCTCATCCATTTCAAGGGTCTTGCCTTTCTTTATTAATTCCTGCGTGGCTTTCAGAATAAGAAGGACAGTGTGCTGTTGTGTTTTGCATATAAAACAGTGCTCAGTGACTGCAAGATGTTGAGGGCATCGGTTTTGTTTTGCAACCTGGCTAATGCAGAGGTTGCAAAAACGTTTTAATCTTTGTCATCTATTTTACTTCCAATGGAATTAGCAACAGCTTTCAGTACAAGTGCAGAGCATATGTGCAGCACAGTTAACTTTTTATGTCCTTCCATGTCATGTGTCCTAAAAAATAGGGAAAGCCCTGTCCACGTAGCTGAAAAGATCACATTGACATGCTGTTATTTGCACTTTCCTTTGTGGTTTAGTGTTGTGTGAAACAGGAAGGACACTAGTTTTATGCCCATGTTCCTATTCCTTAACAGCTTGAATGGAGTTCCTCCTGTTGAGGCGTGGGGTGTACAGTAGTTGTGAACTCTGTTAATGCTGGGTTTCATGGTCTGTGCATTCTTTTTGCAGTCTGTATGCAATCTTTCAAAAATATGTTGAACCTCTCAATGGCTCCATTGGCTCACAGATAGTAAACACAGCAGCACAGGTGTTTACTATCTGTGAGCATCTCTCAAAAAGATGCTGAATGCATGGGAGGTAACTGATATCCTTGAAGACCATGTAGGACTTCCTTTACGACAGAACAATTAGGTTGAAAAGCGAATAACAGCCTCTGCTGTTACAGTAGAGACACAAGCTACTTCAAGCCACTTACTGTAGTAGTCAGTTAGAGTGATGGCTCAACAGCAGTGCCATGTTGCACTCTTAAAGGACCTGATATGTCAATGGCAACCTTTTCCCAAGGTCCAATATTCAGCTCCACATAGGTGGTGCAGGAGCAGTTCTTGCTGTTTTGTCATTTGATCTACATGACAGGCTCTGGAGAGAAAGTCAATCTTCGGTAGTCCAGCCTCAATTTGCAGAGCCAGTGTAGTAGCTTTTTGTATAGGATGAGGTTCGGTTCCAGCAACAGTCTGTCTTGTATGTGTGTATTTGCAACACCCTGAATCAACAGATCACAAAGCATTTGCTCCTCCATCACACTAAATTCACAGGTAGCAGCCAGCTCAAGTAATAAAGCAAGGTACTGATTAATCGTCTTGTCAGGTCTTGGTGCTGTCTTATGAAAGTTGTGCTGCTTTGCAATCACGTCGACTTTGGGAAAAAAGTGCTATTTCTGTCCATCCACAGCAGAAGGGAAGGTAGTATCCGTGTCTGGCAAAGTGTAAAACAGTCTTTGTCCCAGCGCACGAAAAAGTACTGCACATTTCCTTCCAACTGGCCAGCGATCTCCGTTAGCAATGATAACTAGCATATAGTTATTGAATATCTTGTAACCAAGTAGGGAAAGAAATAGCCAGTTCCCCTGTGCAAGGCATGAACGGTGCAGGTGAAGGCACAACAATTTCCATCCTGGTCGCTCATAATGCAGTATTCTACACTTGTAAAAACAAGAACTGTATGGAAGGATGTACAACATGCTTCACTTCATCTTTATTTTCCTTCACCTCCTTAATGCACGTAATATTACCGTGTCCTCTAGCGCCCTGAGGTGGTGTCTTACTGCATTAACACAGCATCAATCTGTAGCCAGTCAACTTGATGAACTTTGAACTTCATATTTTGTGACAGGTGTTCCTCCAACATGTTAAATCCATTTGGTAAGTACTGAAGCACTTCTTGTCTCATCAGCTTAGCTTAATTGATGGCTCATGATTGGCTAGTGCTGTGCCTCCTTTATCTGATTGGTTGCAAGGCTGTGGGCATGAGGCAGTCATAAGATGATCATTTAATACCAGTAAGTACTACCAAGAGCAGAAAATTGTTTAAAAAAATAACAATTAATTGTTAGGTTCTGGTTTATTTGGAACCTTAAAGCAGAGGCTGGCACAAGTAGGTATAAGAAAAAACTCATCAGACATGTTGCTGCATGAGCTGGTGATCAAACCCTCGACCTTTTAATAGAGGAACGACGACTCTACCAACTGAACCACAGCCGCCCCATGAGAAAGTGCACATATTACTACAGAACAAGAAGGAATTATCTGGCAGAGTAGTGGATTGAAGACCAGGCTTTATATTGTCAGGTTGCTGAGCAGCAAAGTGCTGCAGTGTAAACAACAGGATGTAATGTGTTATGTGATTGTGAAAATATATCCAACAGTGACTTTAATGATTATCATACCTATAAAGTAATCCTTAAAATTATATCTAAAGCAAACTTTTCCAAAGTATATAGTACAACCAAGAGGAGTTGATTCACGTGTGCTTTGAGTGTGGTGGCACTAGAACATGTAATAGTGCAGTTATTATTTATTATTATGTTACCAAATGTAACTATGCAGAAATCCCTAAAATCCCATGAAAGCACAGTTTTCCAATCTAATTGTTGTATAAACAAGAGATGTCATGTGTGATGTGTAAATGTAGGCCTATTATCATCAAGAATTTTACTTGAGGTCTCAACTAGTTTGTGTATAGCTTGTAGTTTAAACACCAGGTCTTTGTAAAAGCAATGTTCAGCTGATGAGTTAATCTGTAAATATCTTTCCAATTTCACTGGCGTGACGTATTTTAGGTTAATGTTCAGAATTATAAAAACTGTATAGACAAAGACATTTCAGTATAGATAAATTACTTAATGTATTGAAAGTAAAACAACTTTTTTTCTTTTGTCTGATTTTATCGATGGGAAAATTCCTCTTTCACAAGAAAATATCCAGGGGCTCCAATCAAAACTTCCAAATGAAGTTTTAACTTCTCCAACAAATGTGTTATTTATGTCCCTCCATGTGCTGTATTTTATTAGTAATCTTTATTTATTACAGCGATTCTAAACTCTATGCAAATAAATCAAATATGAGGGAAAAACAGGGAAATTCTTACCTATTTCAATAAGTTGTTCTATTGGTTTGAGTGTTTTTATAGCTTTTTAATTATTAATACTGTCTCCCACTTATCAGTCACATTATAATTATAATATATTTCTATCATTTAATTAATTAAACCTTTTATGTGACCTCAGTTTCAGAAAAAACAACCAAAAAAAACCATTGCAACACAAAACAAAACAATTTTAATTATAATCCCTTATATTTATTACCCCGCAAGTCATGATTATTAGAATTATATTGTGCTTAATGTTACCTTATTTTTTTTCGTATGCTCCACAGTAACTACTTCATTATCAGTCCACAGCCTCCAGCAGGTTCTGCAGGCTGCATTTACCATGAATGCCCTTAAGATGGCGCCTGAGATCCAGTTTATGAGCACAGTGCACACCACAGCAGTGACATTTAAGGGGCTTATTTCCTGTGTGCAGGTTGAAGTGGTCTTGCAGCGTGGCCTTCTGGGAAAACGTCTTGTGGCACAGCGGGCACCTGAAAGGCTTGACACCGGTGTGGACCTGTATGTGTCGGGTCAGGTTGCTCTTCTGGGAAAATACTTTCCTACAGACCAAACACAGATACTGTCTGTGTTCCTTCAGGTGGCCTACATAGCTCTCCAGGTGCTGAAAGACTCTATCACACCTCCTGCACAAGTAGGGCCTTTGGACCAATGGGTTGTCTGAATCCTGTGTCAGATGTAAGTCTGCTTTATCTCTACATTCTTGTGGTTTAGCTGTTTTTTCTTCTCTTTTGTCCTCTTCTTCTTCTCCTTTATCTTGTTTACTAGTATTGTTCAACAATTCCTCAAGTTGAGAAGAACTTTCTGTAGTTGTTGAAGAAATACTAGTTGAGACAGCTGTAGGAAAGTGGGGTCTACATCTAGAACCACCTGCAATGTGATCAGCTTGATATGATGGCTTGTTTGTTTGATCAAGTGGGATTTTTCCAGCTTCCTCCAACTCCAGGGTTTCCAGATAACATGATGCACCTTCAAAAAACTCTTCATTGTCTACATTTGCTCCCTTGTCATCTCTGACCTCACACAGTTCTTCAATCTCTGCCTTTTTTCCTTGGCTGACCCTCAACTTAAGCTGAATCACAGCTATCCCACATTCCTCAGTGCTGGCTTCCTGGTTGCTAGTGCTGGCCTGGGCTGCATCCCTTTCCTCCTTAACTTTGAAGTGAGTTCCTGAGTGGCTGCAGTCTTGCTGCTGGATTTCCCTCTCCCTTTCTGAGTGTCCATCCAGTTTCAAGAATGCTAGGGTGGGATCGAGGTAAGTGGAAATGGCCTGGGCACACTTCTCCACCACCTGGGTCATCTGGAGCGTACTCGCTGCAGTCAGGTAGCTCACCAGCTCTCTCAGGGGGACCTGAAGTTTGAAACAACACACATTTCAAGAACTAAACATTCACAATTAGGAAATGTACACAAAAACAAAGCTGCAATCACTGAGCAAAGTACTCTCAGTCATCCTTCACTTCCATATCACATAACACCCACTCTTGTTGTAGCAACAGTTTGTTTGTTCCTCAATTCTGTTTTGGTAATGTTACTCTTGATATTTGTCCCTTAACCTGCCTTATAATAACAAGAACCTGTCTGATAATTATCGTAAACCTTCACAGTCATTAATTCTTAAGTGAAAGTACAGTGCAACAGGAAACCTGCTGTAACACACCAACCAGCTGTATTCATTTTAGCGTCATGGCGTTACCTGGATGTTCTGCTATGTATCACAGTAAAGATGTAGGAGAGCAGAATTATACTGTACCTTTAAGAGCCCAGTGTAACACGACAGCAGAAGCCTCCACCCAACCTCCACACTGGAAACCACACCCACACTCAGCTCAGCCTGACCCTCGTGCAGGAGAAACTGGTCCCGCAAGAAGTCTGAGGACGCAGCAAGGACCACTCTGTGACCGTGGAAATAACGGGCCTGGGCAGTGGCTCCTGGTGGACCTGAGAGGAGGAGTGTGACGTCACAGAAGTGTTGCGCCTCTCTCAGCCCGTTTATTTTGCTGAGGATGGAGTCAGTGTGGGCGGGGAAACGAAACAGTAGAGTGTCTGGGCAGCTTGACATGATGGTCCGTCTGCAGGTTTAAGAGAATATTTGGTGCATTGGGAATAGAAATTCAAACCAAGCTGTCCCTACAAAGAGGCTTTGGGCCTTTCTAATTGATAGAGTGAATACAATATTGAAATTAAAAGTTTTGGCACTCAATGTCACACTGCATACTTGCAGGGGTGTTTTCAGGGGGTGGCAAGTTGCCCCAACTAGAAATCTGATTGTCCAATCCCAGATGTGGCTATCACTGGCTATCACTCTTGTGAGAGGCGGGACTAAAATGTACTGGGATGTAACGCATAACTTACTGCTGGAAGATATGATTATTCAATAAAAAATAGCTTTTTCTACTTCTACTTAATTTCACCCCTTCATAAGTCTGTTTCCCAGTTCTGCAGTAAAAAAAAAAAAATGTGGACACACCCCTGCATGTTTGAGGCCTACAGATCTATAGTCAAATCACAAGGCCATCCATCGACATTACTTTCAAATGGTTCAGCAAAATGTGGCTTATTCTATGGAGAGAATTTACTCAAACCTTACCTTTTACTGCAGCCTCACCCTGGGCTGATGGATCCGGCAGATGAAAAAAAAGAACGCTTTTCTTAGTTAAAATCCACAATTAGCTCAGCGAGAACATTGAGTCTCTGATTATTGATAGAAAAAGAAGTTAACGGGCTCCACATTCAGGGGGACGATTTGTATCTTTCAGTGTGTTTGAGCATCAGTCATCTGGCTTCCTCCTGCTGTTTGCTGAGCAGCTTAGAAAGCAACGTGTGAATGCAGTGCAGATGCACAAAAACAATTAACCTTTTCATTACCTTCTTCTTAAAGGGGAATTGATAAATAAAGGAAACGTGTCTTGTTTTTTTCGTCATACCAATTAAACAAATCACATCAACTTCTCGTATTGCCTACCATATACTGTTTATTTTTTTTGTGTGTGTACTGTTCTACTGCAGACTATTCTTTCAGTGCAATCACTTGTTTTGATTGTTTACATAACAGCTATTTAAAGACATTTAAAGAGATTGTTTTTAATCCCCTAAAAGGCTCTCTGTGTGGAAGTATGTGGCCTGGGAATCCTTGAGGCTTTTTTAACCCTTGTGGTGTTCATATTTTTGTTCTCAAGCCAGTGTTTGTAGGCCCAGTGGAGCCGCTGCACTTTGGGGTTTTTAATTCAACACATTCAAACAATTTTATGTTAAAATACTCAACAGATGTTTACTTCATCCCAATTACAAGCAATATAAATCATATATGGTTAATATTTGCCCTTTTTACCTTTGTTAGATCACATTTATGAATTAAAAACAGACTGCATTAAGCTTGTAGTGAAATACTTCCTTCCTAGAAACACCTTCCTTGCAAAATGTTAATTTAGAAGTGTCTGGTGTGCAAAAATCTATTTAAAAAATCTATTTTAAATTCTGTAATAAACAAGCAAACATTCCATCACTTCTTCTTTTTTGATGTGATGGGAATTCTTGTAAACCAATGAATATTGTGGATTGTGACTACATCAAGGTTCTTCTGCTTTGTGTGTGATTTCTCTGTGGGCCTAGACGCCTTTCTCACGCTGCATTTTAATTGAAGAACTAAAGTAAAAACTTCAAGCCACCCAAATGTGCAATGCGTGTGGTTTTAACATGGAAATGAGAAGATCATTGTTTCACAGGATTCCCGAAGTTTGATCACCTTTTCTGTTCTTAAGGATCGATCCAAACGGTTTGTGTTTTTTCCTTTCAACCAAAATAGCTTTTCTCCCAGAGGAGAGTTGATGACTTTTATGGACATCATAAACCTAATGATTAAAAGATACGATGTTTTTTTCTAACTCTTTCAGACTAAATGTTGTGACAGGTAAAGAGCAAAAGGACCATGTCAAAAGACAGCCACACATCCGTCTGTTTTTTTTATTGCAATTAAGTATAAATGTAATGTCTGTCGATCTCATCAGTATTTAATCCGTTTTGGAGCATCCATTACTTTACATAAACCATTGAGCTAAAGAATAAAGTATAGGCTATGAGGAAATATAACTTAAGAGTGAGCAAATGCAGAAACGGACAACAGCAGAAAGCTTTTGATTTTGGAGAAATGTTTTTTCCAGTTCTTCTAGTCCAGCCCAGTCCTATGTGGTTCAGGCATGTGATGCTGTTTAAACTATTGCCAGTCACACCACCTATAATCAAGAACACCTGTGTACAGTCCCGATGTGCACTACAAACAAGCCCCTTTCAATACTATGAAACAACATCTGCATGACTGCAAACAACCATCTGCTTGTTTAAACTTTAGCACCTGAGGTCACTCACAAATTATTAGAGTTAGGGTTCTCTCTCTGTCACAATACAGGAGAAATGTACAAAGTTTGGTCAATAATGAAGAAGAAATTCTCAGGGCAGAAGAGCTCTGTTGGGGGTTCCTTTTTTTCTTCACATGCATTCAGGTATCATGTTGATTATCATTCTTAAACTGCAATGTAACTGAGAACTAGTAATATAATGTGTTTTTGTTTCTTGTCAATTTCATCAGTTTTCTCCTTGCCTGCCTCTGACAGTTAGATTAAACAACTTGATCCCTTAATTTGGAGGGTTAGGGCTATGCTGACACTCTGTCATGAACTTATTAAAAGCTTTCAAACATTCAGATTCAAAGGCATCATCACATTAAAGGGGTCATATTATGCTTTTTCTGGTTTTATATGTGTAACAACACCACAGGTAAGTGAACCCAAAAGCACGACTCACGACGCAGTCTTTGATGGGGGAAAAAACAGTCTTTACTCTTGAAGAAGATACAATCCAAAAAAGTGATCAAAGGGGAAACAAAAGGCTTGAACGCTTCTCACAGGGGTCGAAGACGAACTGGCACAGAAGGAAGGGAAGCTACAGACTAAATAGTAGGGTGAGGGGGAAGACAACGAGATGCAGCTGGGAACAATCAGGACGGGGCAGACAATCACACAGGTGGGAAACACATGAGGGCGGGAAGTGACGGATCTGAAACGAGAGGAGAAATTAGTGACCCAAAACAGAAAATAAAACCAGATAGAAATAAAAACAACCTAAGACCCTGAGCTGGACATGACAATATGCTCTTTAGTGTGTTTTCCATGTATCCTGTGCATGTTTAGGCACATCCATTTGCAAAAATGCAAAGTCCACGTAAACGCATGGCTTCTCCTACCTCCTCCTGTTAGCTGCAGCATCATCTGCATGTAACGCTCGGTTCTAGCCCCCCTCGAAAATGTTTTGCCAGTGTGACGTCTTGTCAGTGTGAGATCACTGATCTAAGCCCATTGGCTCGTTGTGGCAAGCCCAGCAGCTCATGTTGCACGCCCGTGAACTTCTGTAGCACGCCCACGATGTGCCGTAGCCTGCGGTAGCACAGTAGTGCTAAGGTGCTAATGTTTTTGCTCCCCTCGGACGGAGCCAAAGTGGCTGCATTCCCATTATGGTAAAAGGGGCGGGACATTTCCGAGAACCGTGCTGAGCGACTCACCAATTACGGCAGAGCCAACAGGCCGACCAATCAGATCAGACTTGGCACATGTGGGGACTCTGAACGTGGGCACTTCAGAGCCTTAGAGAGAGAGTCAGAAGCGAGCCGGTGCATGGAGCGGCAGTACATGAAAACAGACACTTTTTTTGAACTTTAGCTGTTGTGAACATACTTTAGTAGGTACATAGATGAAATATACGAACCCCAAAAAGGGCATAATATGGGCTCTTTAAATGAAATACAGCAAAACCTCCAGCAAAGCAAACCACTTTCATACTTGCAGAAAACGCCTAAACAGACACATTTTTCCGTTGGACTTCACCCAGAGTTTCTCCTGCTAGCCCCCTAATATGTTTTCAACAACAAGTCCAAGTGAGCTTATGTGAGCATGCAGCATGATATTATCCAGAGAATCCACCTCAAGTCAATGGGAGGGGGGAGTGACATTTATATCCTGTGACTGGAGTCAGTGCAGTGTATGCCCGCGACTGCTACGATCTCTGTGCAGGTAATCAAACGGCTGCATTACCTTTTCTGTTCGCCAGTATGTTGTTCACTTGGCTCCCCCCTCTGCGATCCGGCCAACTACTGGTTCTTTATTGAGGCCTCGTCGACTACTGGTTCCCCGTCAGAGGTCCCGTTTACTCCTCATTCCTGGTCAGAGGCAGACTCCTCTGTCCCTCTGAGAGACCTGTTTCTCCTTCAGTGGCAAGGCCGAAACCTACTGCTCTCCTCATTTGGTGTCCTCCCGGCTGAGAGACTTCACTCTATGCATGTCTTAGTTCCAAATGACCTGACCAGAGCACGAGTGTCACTGCCTGTTGCGCATGGATTTTGGCTTCACTTGTGTACATGGAAGAAGACAGAGGTGTGCTGTCCATATTAATATATAGGCCTACAGTTGATGGTTGCAAAATATAGTGCAATAAGTTGTTCAATGTGGTGGGTGGATCATGCCACCCTCTGGAAATGCTCCTGCTTGTTTCGCCCACACTTAGGCTACAGTAGAAAGCCATGATTACCAGCCGCCATAAAACCTAATGAAGAAGAAGGAGGGGACAGGCTATGTAGGCTCCTGCATGATAAATAGATTCACTTGTGGCTTAATTTTGATAGCAGGCCTAGCCAATCAAAGTTCTACATTATGCAGGTTATTACATTTTTTATTTTTTTTGCCTAAAAGCAAAATCATATGCTACATTTATTCACCACGAACTGATAAATAAATAGCCTATTGTAAAGTAAAAGCAACATTTAAAAAAAAAAAAGAAAAAAAAAAAGCAAACTAATTAAAAAATGCAGTGGTCTTATTTGGTGGCTAAATGTTAGATTTCAGCACAGTGTGGTCAGGGTTTATGATTCTATTGGGAGCAATCTCATAAATGAAGAAGGGGATTCCACTTGGTTATTCATCACTACTGTAAAAAAAAAACAACCCTCAGTCCCAAGGTAACGCTTCACAGGAAGATGAAGCCCCCTGCTCTCCTGCTCCTCCCCCATCATCATCATCATCATCATCATCATAGAGAGTGAAATCATTGGCTCACATGAGGAAACCTTTAAACTGAGGAGGAAACACGGCGGTAGAAAACTACAGCAATTGCGTTTTTTTCCCCAGTTAAACCAAAACGTCATGTGAGGCAGAGAATAGAAAGAGTTCGTCTGGAGTTTTAGCAAGATGTTAGAGGGACAGACTTTCAGAAAATATGTCAGTACTGACGGGGAGGAAATAATGGAGCAACCACGGAACTTACATTGACAGCGAACGTGAATGTTGCGTCTCTGGTTTAGCTCGCTAACGACGAGCTGTGTTTGAAGTTCAGAGACCGACCGACCGACCGACCGAGAGACCGACCGAGCTGTGTTGGAACAGGAGCAGCCCCCGCACCTCACAGGGCAACGGGCAGAGTAAACTGAGTGAGTGAGTGTGTGTGTTTTTGTTTCGTTTGAGAAGTTACAATTAGATTAACGTTACGACAAAGGTAAAACAGCTGGTATGTGCCCTGAAGACAGACCTGCTGTAACTTCAAAAGTAAGCGTAATAACATTGTTGTTTATCTGGCTCAAAAGTGTTGCGTTAAAGGGTTTAACAAGACAGAAGCAGGGATTAATAATTAAGTTGTCCTTTAGAAGTATTAATCTAATCATTCGACAGGTGCCATATTTCTCTGCAGGTTTCTATAAGCCTATCAGTCATACTAGACATAGGCCTAGAAGCTACCAGAAACTATGGTTAGGACGACCTGAATTCAACAGATGTGTAGTAGTTGGGGGTTATAAAATGGTAAAAAAAAAAAAAAATACCTGTTATAAAATGGTTTTATGACAGCCAATATAAGAATTGAATCGATCAATCAATCTTCAATCAATCAGTCAGTCAATCATTTAGTTACTCACCACTTTTGGTGATGTTGTCCGTGTGTTTCTTGTCTTCTGTGTGTCTTCTGCAACGCAAATTTCCCCTTGTGGGATAATAAAGAATCTGAATCTGAATCTGAATCTGAAACTTAAGCTAAAGCCTTCCGGAGTTATTTGTCATTTCTTTATTGAAATCAAACAACATAAAAGAGAGACACAGTTCTGCATTTCTATATTCAACACAGTGCTATTCGTCATATGTCAAAAGCCACAGAAAGTCAGTGTACAGGCAAGGTCTATTTGTCAGCAACTAAATCCAAACATTTCGTTAAAAGTGTTGTTTGAAAAAATGCAGACTTTCTATCAGGTTTAATGAGGTATACACACATGAGGGACTGTGTATTAAATTTGATTGTTTTAATAACCGTAATATGCTTAACTTTCTCTCTCAACTGTCAAGTCTTTTTTCCAGTTTAAGCTTCATAACGTATTCTTACTTTTAGTCAGGGAGAAGTGTTGTTTTCAATGTTTACGTCATCCCAAAACAAGAAAAGTTCTCAAACTGACTGTGAGCCATGTTCAAGGAATGACTGTGTCAAGGAAGCAGATACAGTAGTAACACTACTTTTATCATAAGCAGACACATTTTGATAATTTGTCAAATGCAAATTGTGGTCGGATGGAAATGGTGTTTTTGTTGTTGTTGCATAAAATGTAATTGTGTTTAAAAAATTAAACATATGAAATCCTTATTGGTTTAATCTTAGTGTAGGCATGTATTGATTCATTAAGCTACTTTTGAAAATACGTACAGACAGACAGTTGAGCAATTTGGTTTAGCTCTTTACTGGAAGAGCAAATCATTGACATACATGTATGGCCTAAGTACATTATTCTTGCATCAGGGGTTATGTGTTAGATTCTGCAAGATTTATCCAGGTCAGATACAAAGAACCGCACTTTCAGCAGATGTATGACTTGGCTAGTGGAACAAAAACTGACAGCAGAGCTGCAGCTTCTTGCTTTGCTATGTTACTGCTACTTAGTGCCAGAATAATGTTCAGAGCAATTGTAGGAGTAGATGAATATCTCACAAAGTTTTGTGAAGAGAAGAGCCAGCAGTGCTTAGCAACATTCATATTAGACCACCCAAACTGTGTAGGAGGGAAAGGAAAAGTCTTTACCTTCTCACTTGCATTACATTAATCTGTGGTGTATTGCAAACATTTATTTTGTTTGTTTTGCATTAAGTAATGTTGACTGGTGATTTTCAAACGTCACCATTGCGTGGAGCCTGCCTCTGTTTGCTGCAGTCCCATATCAGTGATGTCCAGAGGTTTAGCAACCAGAAATCGATGCATAGTGACAGAGAAAGAGGGAGGATGAAAGAGAGAGAGGGAATCAACACATGGTGAGTGCAATGTAAAACTGAAGTTAGCAAACACAAAAACAAAATGCAGCAAAGAAGGTAACTGCTACAGGCTGTGAGCAAAGTAGGCTAAGCAACTAAGTAGTGATCTGTGTGTAGTGAAGTGACTGCGAAGGTTGTTCCATGGAAAAACAATGCGACCAATGCACTTGAGAGAGACTGCAGAATTGCTGAACGCAGATGGCGAAAAACAAAAATAGAAATTGATAAAAATATACTCATAGAAGCAATAAAAGACTACAACAAAGCCGTCCGAAAATCAAGGCAAGAATATTTCTCAAACCTGATAAACAGCAACATTCACAACCCCAGACATCTTTTCAGAACAATAGATTCTCTGTTACACCCCACAACCAATAACAGCTCAGTGCTCTAAGGATCTAAATGTGAGGTTTTTGCTGGCTATTTCAGGGATAAAATAGTTGACATTAGGTCTGGTATCTGTCAGCAAAGCAAACACATCGCACTTTTTCCAGTATCATATACAATCAGTGATGTCAAGTTGGAAAGTTTTGCCCTGGTTGATGCTGCAACACTCAGGACAGAGGTAACAGAAATGAAGCCATCCACGTGCTCCCTTGACCCAATTCCAACATTCCTTTTTAAAACCATTTTTAATTCAGTATCAGAAGATGTCCTCGACATAGTAAATCACTCCTTACAGCTAGGTGTTGTCCCTACCGATTTTAAGACTGCCTTAATTAAACCTCTTTTAAAAAAAGGGAACCTGGATATTTTAACACCTAGTAATTTTAGACCCATCTCAAACCTGCCATTTTTAAGCAAAATTTTAGAGAAGTTAGTTTTTAATCAGTTGAGTGCCTTTTTAACCTCAAACACTACATTAGAAATGTTTCAATCTTGCTTTAGGGTACGCCACAGCACTGAGACGGCCCTGCTAAAAGTAGTTAATGATATCAGAAAAAACCTTGACAACAACAGGCCTTCAGTTCTGGTACTACTCGACCTCAGTGCTGCTTAACGATACTGTTGACCACCAGATTCTTTTAGATAGACTAAGTGAGCATGTAGGCCTTTCTGGAAATGTTTTTAACTGGTTCACCTCGTATTTGTGTGACAGAAAATGTTTTGTATCGATAGAAGATTGCACCTCCAAACAATACGAGGTCTCCAGTGGGGTACCACAAGGATCAATTTTAGGACCACTACTTTTTAATTTGTACGTTACCCATGGGTGGTGTCATCAGGAGGCACGGAATCTCTTTCCACAGCTATGCTGATGACACTCAGCTCTATGTGGCCGTGTCTCCTGATGACACCAGACAAATTGACTCACTTTTTAGTTGTATTTTAGATATAAAAGCCTGGATGTCACAGAACTTTTTGCAGCTCAACCAGGACAAAACTAAGGTTTTAATCATCGGTTCAAAGGCTCAGAGAGAGAAACTGGCCCCCAAACTAAAAAAAATAGGACTCAACCCAAGTCAAGAAGCACAGAATCTTGGGGTGATCTTTGACTCAGATTTGAATTTTAAGGCCCACGTAAAGGGTGTCACAAAAACAGCATTTTACCACCTGAAAAACATCGCCAAAGTGAGGCCATTTCTCTCTCTGAGCCAAACAGAGAGACTAATGCACGCTTTTATTACTAGCAGGCTGGACTATTGTAACGCTCTCCTTTCTGGTCTTCCAAAAAACACAACAAATCGGCTTCAGCTACTACAAAACTCTGCCGCACGAGTACTGACAAAGACCAGAAGGAGAGCACACATCACACCTGTTTTAAAATCTTTACACTGGCTGCCTGTTAGTTTTCGTGTTGATTTTAAAATTATTTTATTAGTTTATAAAGCATTACATGGCCTTGCACCAGACTACCTATCAGATATGATTTTAGCTTATGAACCAGTACGGCCCCTCAGATCCTCCAGTTTCTCTCTCTTAGTTGTTCCACAGAGCAGGACAAAAACCTTTGGCGATGCTGCTTTCAGCTGTTACGCTCCGAGACTGTGGAACAACCTTCCTGAGGGTCTGAGAGGAGCCCAGAATATCGAGATTTTTAAACGCAGTCTTAAAACTTATTTATTCAGTCTGGCTTTTATATAGTGTTTTATATCAATTAAAATCTTAACATTACTGTATTGTCTTTTTATCCTACTACAATTTTAAATATTTTCCTCTTATATATTTATTTTAATATCTTGTTGCTTTTATGTGTCGTATTTTATTTTATTGTATTTTATTTTTATACATATATTTTATTTGTAATTCTTATTGGTGTGCATTGGTCTCTCAATGATTTTATAAACTACTTTCTGTCAATAACTTTTCTGCACTCTTGTTAAGCACTTTGAACTGCAATTTAATTTGTCTGAAAGGTGCTATATAAATAAAGTTTGATTGATTGATTGGTTGATTGATCTGCCTGCTGTATCCACTTTTTAGATTACCAGACCAACCAATCATGAAACCATTTCACAAAGTAAGTTCACTGCATAGTTACATTTGACTCTTTTAGGGAAGTAGAATCACACTGAAATGACTGGTGTTGTTTCTGTGGTGTGGGAAGTGGGTGAGCAGGTATGCCAAAGAGATACAGACTTAACTACTTAACTCTCTGGTTTTACTGTTTGCTACGTGACAAAGGATTACAATCAACAATCAAACCATGATTTCGGTTCACTTTTCCAGGCTTTCCAGGCCCTTTCTTAATTTGATAGATTTATTTTCTTTTGCATTTAAGCGAAGATATAAGGAAGGCTTTTGAAAAAGATTACTGAGGTATCTTTCAAACAGACAGAAGGAGATTTCTAAAGGTGTGTTCAAACCAAATATTACTTTCTAACATGTACATCTTGGCCAGGCTACGTGAATGATGCAGTTAAAAAACTATAAATTCATGTAATTTGTAAATGATCAATCCATAAATTGCAATAAGAAAAAAAAATCATATAACGCTGTCTCCCTTGACATGACTGGACATGACTTTGCATCACTAATGGGGATCTAACCTACATTTTTTAATACTGTAAAGACTTTTGCCTTATAGTCTTGCAAACAGTCCTATAAGCATAAATTGTGGAGATGCACCGATACCACTTTTTTGCAAACCAAGTACAAGTACAAGTACTTACATTTGGGTACTCACCGATACGAGCACCGTTATGAT